CTTTTTGCGCATCTTTTGACATAATTGTGCTTCCCATTATTTCTCTTCTCTGACTTTTACTTTGCCTCGCTTGATCTCCTGAAACTGCTGTAAAATATCTCAAAATAACCTCCTCCCTGTGGAGGAATATAGGTGACAGCTGAGTGCCTTAATTATGGGGACAGAAAAAGGTGAATAAGCTGCGAGTGCTGCTCCACGGGGCTGTGCTCATTTGCAGATTCAGGACTTTATTTAGGGGTCTACAATACGGTGCAGTACTCAGTGTCATGTGTGACTATTGATCTGTGTAATAAAAACAGATGTCATCGATATGAAACCCACCGGTTTATAAATTTCATGGTCCTGGATTTTTTTGGGATTTATTGGGTTTTTATTCCTGTTTTGATTTTTAATGTTTTGTGTGTCTCCAGCCTTTCCCTCCCTCCGTCTTCTCCTTGTGTTTATCATATCTTCCTGTTTTATTTTGGAATTGTTTTTCCTTGTGTGTCCCTCCCTGGCTTTCACTTCTTGTCTAATTGGGTCATCGTCTCCACCACCTTCACTCCACACCATAAAAAACTCTCATTAGGCTAAAACAGTCATTTAAATAAAAATATTTAAAAGGAACAAAATATCCAGCATCATCATTATGAGTTGGGCAAGAGAAATAACCCAAAGTGAGATGCTCAAGTGTCTTATTCATGACTAATGGGAGGGTGGAGCGAGAGGTGGACCCGTGGATTGGTGCATCAGCAGTATTGGAGGCATTATACTCGGCTAAAGTGGTGAAGAGAGAGCTCCAAACATTCATCCAATCTTAAAAAATGACAGAAAGAGCAAATTCAAGTGCCTGAAATGAGTTTCCCTGTCTTTGAGGCAGGCTGACAGGCTGAGGACCTTGGACGCATGGTGGGAGCTAAGAGAAGAACTACTCCATTATGTTGGAAGGAGCCAGTTGAGGTTTCTTGAGCACACAACAATAGGGAGGAGACTTTGGAGCAAGCCCAGAACCTGCTTGGGAGATCAGGCCTTGGGGGCCACGAGGGACTGTTCAGCGCTGCTGGGGAGAAGGGCGTCGTGAATATCCTCCTTAGCCTGCTGCTTTGGATAAGTTGATGATAACGGATCGATAGATGGATGTTGGATTCAGTAAGATTTGAAACTAATGACTAAGAACATAACAACAGTCCACATAACATCCAGTCCACCATGCAGTCACCAGCACCTTTTAGAAACGGGTCTGTGCTCTCAACATGATTTGGAAGGTAGACAAATGTGTGCGCGGAGCCTCGTGTTCACCCAACCGATGATGAAAAATACGACGTGAACCCTCACATATGGGTGGATGCGTAATGGCTGTTCATGTTTGAACCAAACTGTGAGGGAGGAATCGGCTCTGCCAAACTAGCCGCTGCTGCCAGTCATGTGGAAATGTTCCCGCTGAGTTCAGCAGCAGTGTTTTCTGAACTCTCTCACCTTTTAATGCACATAAAGACTTTATAAGAGACTTAAAGGAAAACAGGAAATCTCAGAAAAACATTCAACTTCCTTTTAAATTAAATTTGATGTTTCTGTAACACTGTAAACAGAAAAGACTTGGTAATCCCATGTGATTACTTCCTCTTTTCCCCCTCCCCATTTACTTGTTTGAGTGACAGTTTGCTTATACATCCAGCTGTCTAGAAGCTCACAGTCTCAGAAGAACAGAGAAACTCAAACACTGCTGAATTACTGAGCGCACAGCAGTCGCACGACACGAGTCTCCCTCCTGCTGCGCGCTCACAGAGCTCCATTGTAAGCTGAGACGTTTGCCATTTGAGAAAAAGATCCCACCTTCTGTTTCTAAAATGACAGCTGGCATTAAAGTACAGCTCATTGTTGGATACTGTGGAAGCATTAGCTGAGTGCATTGTGGTCCGAAAATAGTGGGATTTGTGGGGACTGATGATTTTCTGGAGGCATTTATTTTTCGTAGAGGGCACGCTTTGATGCACAAAAAAGGCCAACGGGTCATTAATGAAAGTGGAAAAGGCTTTGCGCACTTTGAATAACTGCTGGATTTAATACCGTGGCCATCATGGAGTAATCTGCAGCATTTACCGAGGATTATCATGTGCAGAACAATGCCAGTGTAATCCTAAAAGGCTGACCTGTTGGTCAGACCACTGTAATTATGATTATCGGAGCTCATATCCTGATGAGACATTTATACGCACACGAGTAAACAGAAAGTGAACATTTTTGGCTGCACGTTGGGACTTCTTAGACACAGAAAGTGGAAAAAGGAGCAAACTGAAAACTTCATTGACACTTTTGAGTCACAATCGCCTCCGTCCTTCCTCACAAGTGTTTATTTTTTTGGCGATGAACGGAGGTGATGGTGTTGCAGTCGGCCGTGGCAGCAGCTGTATTCCTGTAACTCCTTCTTCTTGTAACATCTTCATTTTTGGCAGCAGAGGATCTCGTCTTTGGTTTCTTTAATTGATTAACATGCCTGAGATGCACCGCGTTGCCATGCTTGCATTGTTCACATTTTTGTTGCTTGATCAGCAGTTGGGTTTGGCTCATCCTGTGTTACAGCTATAAACGCTGATAGGAGCCCAGAAATGATTGAGCAAAAATAGCAAACAAACAAATCAAGCAGAAAAGGTTCTCCGGAGAGTCTGAACCATGGAGACAGAGAGGGAGCATACACCTGAGACTCTCTGCAGACATCCACCAACTGAAGATGACAATAATTAAAGCTGAAAACAACAATCACCAGGGCAGATATGTGAATGTCCTGACTGATGTCATGTGGTTAAATAGCAACTGCACCAATTTGGCTTTTTACACCAGCTCCTAAACCTCAGGAAGACTTTTTGTCATCAGTCTGACAAGAACATTAAACCTGCACGCAGACATCTCGCTGTTCTGTCATTCAGACACACGGATCTTAACAAAATCTAATCCAACACATCTGTTTTTAATTCAGTTTGTTAAATAACCAGTTATAAATACTCTTTAGCTCAGGCTATTTGCATTTGTTGCTATATATATATATGTGTTAGCATTGGCACTTCGAGCAGATTATTATGGTGATAAAAACACGTAAAGTTTTTATTCATGGGCTTAAAAATGAGCGATTTCCAGTGCTATAAAGATGAATGAAGTTTGCACAACCTGACTTAATCACTCAGAAACCAACTGGACCATAAGGGATGACTAAAGCATTTTTAGCATCATTTAGAGCTGAAGTTTGAGTTTGACTGCAGTTAATAAGATGAGATGATCCCTGACTTTTTAACTGCTCCAGAGGGAGAAACAATCCCAGTGTCTGCATCAGTGCTTCAATTTCCAATCCCAAAATAAGACTGATTCACATCCACCAGGTCACCATGGCCTACTTAGGGTCGGAGCTAGGGTTCGTTGTGTTCTAAGCAAATGCAAATATAATATAGCAGTGCTTTTGCAATATGCTATATTAAATTTAGCAGCGCACAGGGTCGAAGCCTTTTTTTTTTTTGATGTATCAAAAATCCATTCCTCCTAACAGATTGTCAGTGACCCGCTTGATGTAGAGCCTGTAAAGTCTGTGTACCTTAAGGCGTCGCCACAGCAGAAGTTTGTACTATGAAGCAGGATCTTATCCGGATAACCTCAGGATCAATCCTGGGTTCTCTGTACTAGGAAGGTCACTTCTTACAGATTCAAGATCAACAGGTATGAAATCACTTTTATATTTAATCTTTATTCACACACCGCAGCTGAAAGAATACAAACTTAAACCTTCAGGAGCAGGGTACGCTCAGCGTTTATGTTTAAAATCACTGTTTTCCTTACAGCATGCTGTATGTATCATATAGATTGTTAAGCCATAATTTACTAAAATCAGTGAATGAAGGGCAAACGGTACCGTTGTTGATTGGCAACAGTTTAAAAAAAAAAGTTTTTTACATGTGATTCTAATCTGCATTTAAGTCTCTTTTACCCGGTTGGAAATTACAGCTACTAGAAGACAGAACAAAAACCTGTTCAATGTAATTCATTTCACTTTGATGTGCTGACAAACTGAAGCAGTTTCCATCATAGGGAGCAGTTACTGCAGACAGAAGAAACTTTTTCTTTAGATTGGTTAGGCACTGCCAAGCCCACTCCTCTCATGTGAATTTGCAGAGTATATAACCAGTTTGAGCATTTTAAAAATTTAATTCACAGCTTGGGAGGAGAACATGTGGAGCCACTAAAGCCTGGCAGTGGTGGGATTCGAACCCACGCCCCCAAAGAGACTGGAGCCTTAATCCAGCGCCTTAGACCACTCGGCCACACTACCGGTGATTTCAACTTAATTTCCATCTGTTGGTTGGTTAAACCTCAACGAGAAAGCTCTATCCCTGTAACATGCTCTTAATATCCAGGTGTCCAGAAGTTTTTAATTCGTTTTTATTTACACCTTCACGTGGGATTTAGCATATCTAAAAAAGTCTTATAACAGCCCAAAAGGTCTGTCAGTGGTAACAACTGACTATTTCTGAAACTATGCTTGCAGCTAAAATTCAGTCTAACCCCCAAAATAACAAAACCAAGCCAGGACCCACAAACAGGATCCAAAAACAAAGAAAGACCCAAACAAGGATTCAAAACTCAGAGACAGCAGGAAAATCCCCACATAAAGACAGAGAAGCAGCGAAGGACAAAACCAAATCAAAGCTCAAGTTAGCAGAAAACCAAACACTTGAAATCATCACCAAACCCAGAGACTAAAGCAATAAGCATTATTTTTCCTGTAAATGCTCTTCTTGAACTCACAAATACAGCAGGTGGACTGTGGTAAATTGTAAAACATCTCTTCCTAAATGCACTCGCTGTAAGTGATGTAATGTAATGCAGTAACTCTAACGGCAAAGCAAAACAAAGCCTGTGTAAGAATTTCATCAGTGGAGTAAAAAAGACCCAAGCTCACTGAATACTGCCACAAATAACTGTCAGCATCATCATCTGTTTCCCACATAAAGTTCAACAATCACAGCTGCTCGACTCACCTTTGCCTTTGCACCTCCTCCTCCTCTTCCTCTTAGACTTTCCTTTCAGGTCTGACCGCTCCATGTTTCTGCTGCAGGTCCCCGGTGCCATTCAGGAGATGTTTTTTCCTCTGTTATTATACTAGTTTGTCCTTCTGCTGCTTCTTCTCTTCTGCTGGTCTGAAACAAATGAATCAGAGTGCAGCTCTGCAGCGGGAAGCCCTGCACAGTGACTGACTTCTCTCTCCCGCTGCCGGCTTTAGGAGGCGGGCGACTGCTGAGGTTGTGACATCACGAGGAGAGAAAGGGCTGTGATTCAGCATCACTGAGTTTGGTGGCATCAGCTGGTGGTCAGTGGCACATTTTGTAAATCATACAGAGGCGCTGAACTAGTGTCTGAACGCTACAACCAAACATAAGCATCAGAATATTGATGTTAGGGGAGAAAACAGAGGAATATGAGTGTTTCTGAGAAAGATGAAGAACATTTGAAGCATGTGGTCAGAGGATTCAAAGTTATCATTTTCACCAACTAACCTATCATGCATGTCGTTGGACTGTGGAAAGAGAGCAGAGAAACCAGCTGTTTGAGGACTGAACATCACGTGAGCTGCTCTGCTCACATCCTCTGACTGAGGTGCACGTGAGAATGTGGTCACACTGGACATCAGCCCGTCTCTAACCTGTGTGATGTCAGACTGAGCCGATGTGTGAGAAGCATCTAGTCCAAACAATGTGCTGCTTTTGAGTTTACGCGTCCCACATGCTCTATCCAGACGGCTCCTACACGAATGCTGAAGCAGACTCCCTCCTGCTGTGTGCTTCACATGAGAAAAGGACAATTTTTGAAACTATGCAGACGTGACTCTCCTGAAATTTTCTGGAGTGTGAAAACAGTTTGTTTAAGTAATTTAAGAGTGATGAAAATCTGCAGATTTCTTGGAGTAGCTCCTCCCACGGTCACTGATGTCAGTGGTCCAGCTCTGGACCCAGGTCTGATACTGTGCCAGCTTTTAGATACAAATTGGGTTTTTTTTAGGGGGGATTGCATGAAACCACTTCTACATGTAGGTGGAAAGGAAGTCATAAAACCCTATAAGTTTCTGAGCTAGTCCCATGGTTACAGCGCTAAAACATGTTAAATCTCTGGCTTTAAATAAACTATCAGTCTCCACATTTGGTAAATGGTAAATGGCCTGTATTTATATAGCGC